CCTTCACCCACATCAATTTCTTCCACATATAGCGAATCAGCATCAGGATGTTTCTTGGCATTCTTAATTAGGCCAACGCGAATATCAAGTCTTGTGATGGAGATGTCTGGTTCAACACTGCCCTTTGATTTGCCTTCAGCAGCAGGTTTTTTGGCCTGTTGCTTCTTTCCACCAACTGTTACATCAATTCTGGTAAATAATATGGAAATAAACTTTCCAACAATTACTTTTAATGGATGCCACTTCCAAGTGATCGCAAGTAGGTGCAAACACTAAGTTGATAGAAACATTTTTTGACCAACATATATGACTTGGTTCAAATTAGCAACCATCAGAACTAATCAAGATACACACAAGCCTGCAAGCAGATTAAAACCTGTAACTTTTTTCTTCAGTTGTTCGGCAAGCTTTGCTGCTTTTTCAGCTTCATCCCGCTCAAGTCTATCAGCCTGACTTCCAGCAAATTTCCTCCTATACTCTTCCACTTCTTCACCTTTCTGTATGAAAATGAAGTTACTTAAATTAGTTGCAAGCCCAAAGAAAAGGAACATTAGGCTGATCCTTCACCACCATCCCCATCAACATCAAAGTAAAAACATGCGCACGCAAATACCTGCACTATCAAATTCACACCCAGACACATGCATGCACATAACTATACAGGGCATAACATATTATACCAGTTCCTTGAACAAGGGCTCTGGTCTCCCAATCTTGTGCCCAGCAGGTAGGATCTCCCAAGGTCTTTTTGCCCTATCTATATCACCTTTCTCGTCACAGAGTGAAGCTTGTTCAGGGGGCAAATTAAGCTGCTTGAAGACCTTATATCCAATAAAAAAAAGTCTCAGCATACAAACAATAAAAGATATTCACAAGAGTGTTGCATATAGATGAATAAGGTAGCCAAGATACCTCAGCAGAGAAAGATGGCATGAAGGGTTCTAATAAACATGCGAGAAGATATACTAGACCCAGTGAAGTCTTTATAACTATTGAACAAGAAGGTCGGTCTTCCTTGTAAAGATTCCAGAATTGGCTCTCCTGCAAGCAACAAAAACATAAGAAACACACAACTAATGAAGCTTTTGAATCCAAGCTATCATAAGCATTCTAGGCTTACTTGCAGATATGCATTCCCCTCACTGGAAATGCTCATTGCAGTTCTCAATCCTTGCTTTAATTTAACCTATGAAATTACAAAAAGGGGTGTAAGAATGATGCTAGTTACATGCAACGGTCCTGCAAAACAATGATTGACTGATACCTTCTCCATGGCTTCCAAGTATTGCTCCACATATTTACCAACTTCTTCAGCCAATTTCTTTGTCAGGGGGTGAGAGTCTGCACCAGGAGCATCTGGAATGACAGAACCATAACCTGAACCTGTAGATCAAAATAGTCTGTCACTGTGGTCTGAGGATACAATTCCAGTGTTGCAGCCAAAAAAATGCATCAGAAGTGACAGGAAAGTGATAGAATACAAAAACCAATACATGAATTTATGATCCTTTCAAGGGCCTAGAGGATCTGTTTGGGACTAAAACATGATGCAGTGCACTATATCCCAATGATATTTTGGCTTGCAAGCTTCAAGAAACAACAAATGGGGTCCAGAAGGGTATTGAGCATATTAGATGGACAAAATGGCCCTCCTACAAACTCCAAGAATTATCCTGCTTTGTAAAGACTTTTAAAAGAAAATGAAGGAAAAACTCAACTGCTCAATGGCATTCCATGTATATCTATTATAATAAGGAGATGGTTCTTAGGAAATAAATGCCACTCCATAAGTGCCACCAAAGATCAAACAACAGCAACATGCCACAAATGAAAAGGTATGTTAAAGAAAGGGAAAAGCTCTCTAAACTCAAAACGAGAAGAATACAAATCATGATAATTAAAACCCAACAAACAAATTATCCTGCTATTGGCTACAGAAATCTACCATTCATCTCTCCTGTCAACATAAAAATACTGTCACTAATATATTTGTCAAGAATCAAATTTAGCTGAATAACCAAAGATTATGAAACCTAATATGGAATTTCATGTAGCTGATCTACCTGGAGGTTTAGCAAGAAAACTCAGAACTCGGTTAATAAAGTTTCCCAAATTATTCAGCAACTCATTGTTAAGTTTTGCTTGCAAATCAGACCAAGTAAATAGAGTGTCAGACACCTAATAAACACAAACGCATCAAGGTTAGCATTTTACTATGACACGAGGAAATATTCAACCACAGAATGAAAGCATTATCGCAACATGAGGATTACCTCAGGCCTATTGGTTAGCAAATAATATCTCCATACTTCTACCGGAATATTTGTATCTTTTGCATCATTACCAAAAACACCTACGCCTTTACTCTTCGAAAACTTTCCTGCATTAGCCAGCCAAATTAACTTAGAAAATTCAAGATGGTCAAAAGCAAAAAAGCAGCTCCTTAATAACCAAAGGTTATCCTAGCAGTTTACATTTGAATGCATGAATTCACCTACTATTGCACATTGTCTAACCTAAGTCAATAACGTATAGTTGACAAACCTGCTTCATAATTTAAGTATTCAGTTACGCTTATAGTCTTCATCAAGGTCCAATTTTCACCAGTTCCAAGAAGCATAGAAGGAAACATCACCTGAAAAGAGAAATGCTTACACATTTGAAGAAATGAAACTTTACAGCATTATTATAAGAAAAACTATGAATATTGAGAGCAATTTTGGTGCTCAGCATAAAACAGCAACCAAAAAAGAAACTTGAAGTGCAAAACATAAATGGGAAGTTCTGTGATTGCAGATAAGCCCATCAGGTATCAAGTAAAACAAAATAAAAGGAACGGAGAATATAACAATCACATCAAACCTGCCAAAATTACTGAGATGCAGGAAGTTTCAAGCAAAAAGGATATCTAATTATACAAATTTTACAAATGGAAAAACACACAAGATCAACATATAAAAACAGAGATAATAATAACTACCATCTGCAGGCCAACAATTCTGAAGGACAGTACACTTACAGTGTGGAAAGGCACATTGTCTTTTCCCATAAACTGATACAGCTCCACATTCTCAGGATTCTTCCACCACTTCTCCCAATCAGAAGCGTAGCAAGAAGTAATGGAGACATATCCAATAGGAGCATCGAACCAAACATAAAACACCTAACAATAACACAATTTGAAGTTACATCAAGAAAATCTTATGGACTGTTTATGTGCATATTAGTTTGACAAAATGGAGAAGAAATACCAGATGTGGGAGATTCAGTATGATTGAAAGAAAAATCACATATCTTTGACGCAGTTTGAATGAGATAAAATGGAAATGATACTAAACAAGATTTCTAACCTTGTCCTTAAATTCCTCAAGTGGAACCGGAACACCCCACTTCAGATCCCTAGTAATGCATCGCTGTTTTAGTCCTTCTTTAAGCCATGCATTCGTTGTTTGAATAGCATTTTGGCTCCAAGATCCAGTTACTGCCGTGCTCTCAATGTAGTTTACTAATTTATCCTTCAGCAGAGGAAGCTCAAGAAACAAGTGATTTGTATCACGGATTCGTGGTGTGTTTTTACATTGCTGTTCACATATCAGAGATCAGAATAAATATGTAAATACAACATGAAATCACCAGAGTCTTGCAATATAATTGCTATATGGATGGAAGAGGCACAAGTCTCGTGAACGCTTAATTGCTAACTTCTTATTTAGGATTTTTCTCAGGGAAAAAATGGTGGTAACTTTAGTGAGGGTCTTGTAACAAGTTTGACAGTGAAAGAGGCACTGGAATACCAACCAGACCCATATTTCAACCCAGACTTCCTTCCTTCAATGCCACATTTGACTAGTACATAGGATCACTGAGAACCAGTTAAATTATCCTACTATCAAAAGAATACAGTGTGACATGGCCTTTTAGATATTTAGCCTGGCAGTACATTATGCACTACATTTCAGCCCAAGTTATTCCACCTCTGGATGAATATACAACCATGTGGTCTAAGACTATCAGAAAATTAGATATACATAGAATTCTACACAATGGATTGCTAAGAAAAAGAGAGAGAGCATCAATCTCACACCTTGCACCTGGGATTTATTAACTCTGTTGGATTCAAAAGCTTTCCACAATTTTCACACTGATCTCCTCGTGCAGAATCATAATTACATCCTTCAGTTGGACAAGTACCTTCCACAAACCGATCCGCTAAGAATTTTTCACATGTATCACAGTATAGCTGTATCATGACGATAGTTCCAAACATTAATCAATCAACCACCAAAACAACAAAAATGAGCTGAAAATTGAAACAGAGACAAAGTACAGCAGGAGACAACAACCCATACAAACAAAACAGTGAGATGAACAATTCCTCATAAGACTATACCTGTTGCATTGTGTTCTCTGAAAGCCAATTATTCTCTAACAATTTCTTAAAAATTGCTTGACAGACTTCAGTCTGCTGCGGACTCGACGTACGTCCAAATTCATCAAAACTAATATTAAACCATTTATAAACTTCTCTATGAATTGCGTGATACCTAGAAATACACAACCAAATTAAAATTCACAACAACAATAATCAAGAATTCAACAAATAATTAAAAAAAATACTTGTCACAAATTTGTTTAGGGGTACAATTCTCCTCCAATGCTTTAGTCTCAGTCGCTGTCCCATACTCATCAGTTCCGCAAATATAAATCGCATTATATCCACGAAGACGACAGTATCTAGCAAACACATCAGCACTCAACACGCCTAACCAACCAAAACGACACCAAAATTAGAAAAATCAAATCAATTCCTAAATCAAACAGCACAAAATCCAAAATCACTTACTGCCGATGATGTTGCCGAGATGAGGGACGTTATTGACATAAGGCAAAGCACTGGTTATCAGTATGTTTCGCTTTCCCGGGATTGGCAGCTTCGGGACCGTCCGATTGAGATCTTCCATGGTGGCTCCGCAGCTGGCTAGGCTTTAGAGAGAGCAAAAATGTGGACTCAGCGTAAGCGATTCGGGGAATTTAAAAGCAGGGGGAATCAGAATCGAAGAGAGGCGGGCGAGTGCCGCAAGCGTAAGCTAGCGTTAGTAGGGCAAATGGAGTTTTTTTTCGTCAGTTAATTTTTTGCCCTCGGTTTTTGATGAAAATTACGGACGTGTAACGGTCGCAAAACAGACTTTAGAAGGGTTTTGCTAAAGCGGTTATAGTGCAGGGAAGGGAAAAGAGCCTTTGGTTGGGTTGGTGTTTGGACCTTTTGGGTTTGGAAATTGGAAGTTTGTAACTGTCCGTGGACTGCTGCGGGCCCATAGGAGACAAAATCAGGTGCTTTGAGTGCACGCAAAGGAAGCTGTACGCGTATGCATTGCTGACTGATGTTGGGGGGTCAACAAATGTCTTAAATATTCTAATTTCACGAGGTTTGAACATGAGAAAGTTTACATAGAGAAATTTTGTAATACATCCGAAGTAACTAGTGGCATATACAATAATTACTCTATAGGTTCACTTTGAGGAGAGAGATAAATATACAAAAAAAGAGAGAGAGAAACATAAGAGAGAAAATAAAAAAATTTGAGTGGACGTGTAAATATTCTTATCACTTTTGATAGATATAGATGTAATTTTTATCTTTTTTATGTGTCTATCTCTCTCCTCAAAGTGGACTTATGGAGTAACTACTATATATGCCACTAGTTACTTCAGTGTATTATAAAATTTCTAAATATATATATATATATATATATCCGTAGGATTAGTTCTCACGTTATATAACCGAAGCTTGTAGAAAGCTTTGAGGGATTAATTATTTAATAGGATGACAATTTTCTCTGCCTCGATGAGGCCCTCCTCCATCCCATTCTAGTCAACATGGGATTTTTTGAGTTATTTTGAACGAGCATGGGACGGAAATAGTATTTGCCCATCTTGTCCTATCTTGTCCTTCCTTTTGAAAATTATAATTATACTCAATATATATATATATATAAACTCCGAGACTATAAACTAATCTCCAATATAATGAGTGAGCTTTGATGATTTTTAAATAATAAAGACATGTAAGGATATATCTTTTTTAATTGCATTTGTGATATTTCATCAACCTAATTAAATATGTTTTTTATTTGATTGAAAATAATTTAATATATTATGAGTTGTGTTGTAAACTTATGATTGAATATGATACTAAATGATTATCTTTTTTAATTTTATTTTTTATATAAATTATTATCTTTTTACTTTGAAATTTTGATATATCTTTTTACTATAATATGAGACAATGGAAAGAAAGAATCCAGTTATAGTTGCTGGAATTGCTTGCTTTTTTCACCTCCACTGGGATTGTACTTAAATGGAAGAAGATTGGACGACTTTTCGTTTTTTGTTTTGGGGTAATATAATAATTTTCAGATAAGTTTTTATACACCAAATTAAGTTCGTTATTTTCTAAATTAACTCAGTATCAAAACACATTTAATTTTTTATTGATAAAAATATTTTTTAAGCCAAATTAGTTTAAACTCCATACTATTAAAATATATTTATGACTAGTTATTAACAGATAATAAAAATTAAATTTTAATTTTCATCAAATCGAAACAACTCTCTTATTGCAACACTACATCCAATACCTCATAAACTTTATTTAAATACAATTAAAAAAATACTTAAACTAGCTAAAAGGAACAGACAATTAAATCTTGAGTTTCATTTTTGGACAAAAAATACTCAAAATAGCCTAAAAGGCACAAAAGACTCTAATGCAAATAATGCAAACATCAATGAATATTTAGGTAAAGATTATGATGATGACCTGATAAATTTAACTTAAGAATAAGGAGCATTTGTTTATTTATTTATTAATTATTATTATCATTATAATTTTGAACAAATCATGAATCTCATCACCAATTAATATTACGTAGTTTTAAAAACATTCATTTACTACCTAATAATAGAAGTAAGTTTTTCAAATGCCTGCATGAAAAAAGGAACTTCTGACCATACAGACAATGAAGAGAATTTAGCAAATATCATGTTTCTGGTAATCCTGCCAAGAACATAATTTCCTGTTGGCCAGCGGTACAGACTCTGCTGCCCAAATAATCTACATAGCAAGAGAGCATTTTCGAAGGTAGGAGTCATTATCTAGCCACATTCTTGTGTTAAAAACCAAAACTAGAAAAATTCTCCAGGAGAGGAGTTTCATTCTTAAGAAAAAGGAAAGGTGGTAAAGAGAATACAACGATAATTTTGCTGCAATATACATACAGTACTGTCTCAAATTCAAGCAGCAGCTTTCGACACTTGCTTCAGAACACCAGCGATCTCGCTAGCCGTTGCTTTTCCACTCAAATAAGCAATCAGGGGACTCTCCCTAGGAACAATGTCATCTCTTAGGTCTGTGGTTCTTAGCAAGTCTTCAGAACCCTTTGTCACCACATCTTTCAGTATTATCGTCTTATGAGTGCCAGATATCATTTCCTCATAATCGGTATCTCCACTTTCGCCAAGAATTACAAACATATTTGCAACGTTCAATCTCCAACGGACGAAAAGGTACCTAGCAATCACAGAGAGTTATGGAAATCAATATTCTTAACTGACTAAAAAATCATCTCCTGGTGCTGACTATTAATGTGTTCCTGAGTTTTTACGAATTACGATAGTACCTGAGTGCTTGTGCGCGAGATGCAAGGAGAGGAATAATTTGCAATCTTGTTGAGTTCCTGCAATACATTGGATGGCAACGGAGACCCCGCATCCTAAGCTTCTGCCTCAAATCATCCACTCTCTTGACCTGCAAGCATAGTTTTAATGGTTGAAAAAATGTTTGAGATCGCCGATCGTGGCTTATTACGGTGTAAAAATAACAGTTGCCGCAACCGATGTCGTGAATACTTTAGCAACTGTTAATAAGTTTATTCTAATTCATATATTCTTGCAGGGCAAATTAATATGAAAATATGCCTATAGAATGAAATATATAAGAAACTGCTTCTTAAACTTCCAACAGCATTGAATATCTTCATCACCTTACTGCGATCCTTTACGAAGTATGCAATGCAATGAGCATTGCTTGATTTTTTATCTTCCTCGATGGGGCTGGAAGACTCGTCAGATTGTTTCCCTCCTTCAGTTGTATTCATCAGCTTCCAGATGGTTTTCTTCAGGCCATCACAACCCCAACGGTAGTCTATATGTGCTGCGTAATCTGGATCTCGAACAAGCTTTCCATCTAGCTGAGTACAAGTACCGGGGTAATATACTTCACCTCCACTATTACAAATCAATGCATCAAACTCATTTACGTGAATCTTTGCTGATGTCAAGAACTCTGTTGTTTCTGTTAGTGACATAGCTGTTGATAGAGCAAGCCCTGCCACTCTCGCAAATAGCGAGTCCGACCGAACAGCTTTAATTATATCTTGCACGATCTGAATCATTTTCTTTTCAGGAACCCCTTCGCTATCATAGCAGTCGAGAGCTATAACAATCAATCTGCGCCGCTTCCTCAGCATTGGATACTTGCTTACAGCAGCCTCATGCCTTCCACCTTCAGGAACTACTGGCATAGATTCTGGTTTCTTTATCTTGCTTAGGACCCGTTGCACTTGATCTTGCAGTGCAGGGTCCCCAGAGGCTGCAGCTGCATGGTCAAGAGATACATTCAGCGAAGGCTTGTCTCCATCGATTGACAGCCTAAGGGACATATCCTGCACATCCTTGAGCGAATCATTGAGAGACGACTCATCTGCAGCCATCTCATCCTCTGGTGTATCAGTTTGCCATTGCGGGTGCCTCATCCGGCAGGCCGCTACCCTCGTCAAGTAAGTCCGGCAGTGTTCGGGCCATGAGTATAGGTGTATATTCTTCCAGCCATTCTTTCTGCAGTCAGACCATAAGTTCTTTTCTGACACCAACTTAAGCAATGCATCAGCAATAGCTTGCTGATCATGAGGGTCAACAAGCAGACCATTGTTCAGAGCCTGCCAACCAAATCAAGAAATAATAAACAAAAAAACAACTTCTATAATCAAGTTACCATTGCATATAACAGCTGAGGAAACAGGTGGAGAGGAGAAGAAATTTAAAATATCTACACAGAATTTCCAACTAATTGCTTGTTGTCAAGTTTAGATTTTTTTTTGGTCCATTAACTCTGGCTCCTAGGTGATGATATGGAATAGAAGAGAAATTTTCTTTGGGACAAATTTTCAAGAGCCAACATAGCATATGATAATGAAATGGAAGCCATCTTTTACCCTATGGATGTCAACTGGTCCGCCATTTTTAGTTGCCACCATTGGAAGCCCGTGAGCTGCTGCCTTCATCATTTCAAACAAGAGTCAGATCAATTTCATTTCCTCAATGGAAGAAGGTAGGTGACGAAAGAAGCTAGTATTAAAACCAACCTCAATCAAGGTAAGCCCAAAAGGCTCGACCAACGCCGGATTTATGAAAACCCCCTGCCATATACCCAATTACTTAGCTAATAATCATGTAAAAACCACACAGATGTACTCCTTAAAATATTGCCAATGAACCTTTGTTTTTCCAGCCAGCCGATATATTTCAGGAACGTCAGCTTGCTTGTGATGTTTTGGATATGCCACCAGCCCATAAAGATCATACTTGTCAATCATCTTCAACACTGTTGTGAGCACACTCGCGTTTCCACCAGTCATCTCTTCTATATCATCTCTGTTTCCCATTATCAGGGTCTGCATGAGAGCATATTAGTTCCCAGATCCTATCATGTCATCAAACAGACAAATTGAGTATCTAGTAATAATTCAACATACAAAGTGCTTACAAGATTGGCAAGCTCTCTTAACGGACGACACTCCCCAAAGGCTTTCAAAAGTGTTGTAATATTCTTCTTTGGATCAGGCCTCGATAAGGCCAAAATCATAGGCTTATGGGGATTTGTAAGGAACCGCATGATCTGCCAAACGATGTTAGAAACATTAGTTATGTTCATAATCGAGTAAAACAACAAGGTGACACTCACTTCAGACCATATTGGTGGAATTGCTTTTGGGGAAGAACCGTCAACACCGCCGGTGAGGGATGCAAGTTCCCCATCGACCTCAGGAGCATCTTCTTGAACCACAACACTGCTGAAGTCCATGCCAGGAGGAATAACCTGAAAAGAGATTTTGCATCAGCGTTTTCTTGGGAGGTCCAGAAGAATCATTTGTTGTGAATTTAGGCTATATTTAGTACAATTTTGCCTTAACTCATAGACAACTGATAAGGCAAGAGTTTAGCAGTTAGTAATAAAACATCAGGAAAAAAGAAGAAGAAGAGACTAGAAACACTTCCTTACCACCATCCTGGGCATGTAACGGCCATGGCAATTGACCCCACGTCTAGCACGAGCACGCAGAACTTTCTCAAGCTTGACATCAAACCCATCATAAAGTCCCCATTGCTCATCAATCTCTTGTTTAGTACTTGTGATTACAAGTTCTGCAGCGTCAAGTGAAAGCTCTTCTCCTTCTATCCTCCTCATTATTTTATATGTTGAATTGATATCCTCCTTCGATTGTCGTCCCTGCTTAAGAAGCTGTTCCAGTTTGTTTCTCCCAAGAGAGTGTCCAGTTAAAACCATAGGAACGTTCAAAGCACCCGACAACAAAGCAGCACTATCACCAGCATCAGCGTAATGGCCATGGATAACATATGGCCACACAGGCTGGCCCTCTCCAATTTGCTCACCCAGAGCTTTTGACATGTTAAGAATGTGACTAAGAGCTCCATCGACAAACTCTTGAATATAAGGCCAAAGTAACTCTTTATGGAGATACTTATCGCGTGGACCAAAGGGAATCCTGACAATATATGCTCCACTGCTCTCTCCCACCTCGTTGCCATCGTAATCTTCAGGGCCTGAGGTTAGCATCTCTGTTGGTTCTCCATAGCTCCAATCAACTTCAGGAGAGGAGACCTGTCGAGTAAAAAGATCTACCCTGTACACTCCAGGCATCCTAGCAAGTGCACGAGCAAGTTCCACCACATATTTGACCTGAGATATTGTTTATAAAAGTGTTAAAGACGCCATGGAAAAGAGAGAAGATACGTTAACAATTATAAGATTAATTATTCTTCATTTGTACCAAAATGCAGCATTTACCTGTCCACCAGTGTCAGAATCTCGACCGAGCTCCATATTGTCTCCTCGGACCAAACCATGTAAACTGTTCATAAAGATGTCACAACAATGAATTATGTTCGCCAGACAAAGAAATGTAGAAATAGAGTCTAATTGGTCTCTCAGCAAGAAACTCTGCATGTCAATATATATATAATATATAGAAGAAGAAGAAGAAGAAGAAGCAAATCCTTGTAAAGAATTAAATGACGATATAAATATACAATCGTGAGCTATATTACTTTCAAACAGCTATTTAGCTTAAACTCGTAGGCTTTAACATGACTTATGTGCCTGAAAGCGCCATACCTGATAAGGACTATGTAGAGTTTCTTTTCCTTCTTATCGTCCGACCACACTTCCAAGTTGGAAAGGTTTCTCTGAAACGTTTTCCTTGGCGTCTCGCTTTGCACCAGCTCTCCCAAACCATCGCCCTTTTCTCCTTCTGATAAGTCCTCAGACATGTCTTCGGTTGCATCCCGGCGTCCTTGTTCCCGTTCCCATCTCCGATTCGCCAACCGCTGTAGTTCCTCCCAGTCCAACTATTCACATCATAAACATCGCATTTTAGTCTTAACAGTTTTTTCATAATAAAAAGTGAATGACATGAATCTTAGACTTAATTCAATAGCTTGGCAGCTGAGTTCAAGGACCAGAACAGGGCCACATGATCCCACACATATAGCAGAAAAAACTAAAATATCCCTCCAAAAAATTTACAAGAAATTGATTAAGTATGCTAATTATGTACATAATTTTAAGGTACAACCTGTTCATAATAATTAAGAAATTGATCAATCCCCATCCATACACAAAATGGTCAGCCCGTTAATAAGCCTGAAAATTCTGCCTCTCGTGATTGCACTACTAAAACAGAACAAAATCTAATATATATATATATATAAAAAGGGAAAATTATGATCCAATTATTCAAAAAATAAATAAAGAATTCATTTGAATCCACAAGATTCTTGGATTCTGTTCTTTCTTTCTTTCTTTCTTTCACCTTTTCCTCTTATTTGCAAGATTTTGAAAAAGTACTACGCACACAGAGACATATAAATACAAACAGAAATACATGCAGAACAGAGCCAATTGTAGGGTCTCTTCAAGAACCAGGACTTGTGACAGCGACCCAATTCCACAATACATAAAACAGGCATAAGAGAGTAACCTGCTTCTTCTTGCGAGTGAGGTGCCAAATACGCCAACACATGTTTTCGAGCCTGGAGCTGCGTTCCCTGGTGTTGCGAGTGGCAACAACTTTTATCCATGTTCTATGCAAATCAGTCTCATCAACTCCTGTAACAACCTCCTCAACAAAATACTTTGTTGGATTAAAATGCCCTGTTTCTCTTAAATTCACTGTTGGTGCTGGCTTGTGTTCTTCAATTGCACTTGCTCCTCCTCCACTATCTAATATTGCTTCTAAGTATCCATTTATCCACTCATTTCCAGCCATTGCTTCACACAAAGCACCCCACTTTCTTCTTTCTTTTTATAGTCTTAACAAATGCAGTCACAAAAATATGCTTTCTTGGAAACGATATCAAAAGGGTTTGTTTTCTTTTTCTTTCTTTCCTGTTTCACATTGGTTTAGTGATACAGTATTCAACAGAACAACAAGAAAGCGAAAGCAAAGGGTTTCGATATAAAATGCACTTAACACCAAGAAATTAACGAAAGGGTTTCTTTCTTGGCTTCCTGAATATCTTAAGCGTTTTCGTGGTTCAAGAAAGACGGGTCATGCAGATTTTTTGTTAAAAAATTGTTGTATTTGAGAGGAGGGAGAACTTATAGCGAAGGTAAGACTGTGTCGTGTGTGTCTGTGTGAGTGAAAAATGGAGGAGGGGAAGGAGGAAGGAGACGTAGGATTGTGTGGAGAGGGGTCCAAAAACAACGAAAGAGGACACGTGTACAAAGGATAGTTCGAAGTGATGTAAGTGTAAACTTCACATCTATATGAGAGGGCGATCGGAAGGTCACCTTTTCCAAGGTTGTCCGCTTCCCAATGCGAGTTTACCGCCTTCGCTCTCCTTCCTTAACAGGTTTCCTTTCCTCTTTTGGCCGGCTTGCCATCCTGGAAATGGTACTTTTCTTATCTAAATTACTATTACGTACCAGTAATTCATTTCTTAAAGGTCATTCTTCTCTTCATCTTTATTCGTTTTAGCTTTTGCTAAGACTTGTTTTATCGTTTTGTTTCAATACACATAAATTTAGTTTAATGATTGTGTATCTTATAATTAAAATAAAATTCAAGTATCAATTACGTAACTTTTTCGGTGTAATTATGTAATAGAGGAGGACATTTTTTAATATAAGATTATGCATGTATCGAGATTCGCATAATTCGAAATTTTTTAATTAATAACTTAAGTTTTTTTTAATATAATTTAAGAGTTTTATTTCTATATTATTATTTTTATTTCATATTCTAATATGTCACATAAGCATACATGACAAATTTTAAGTAATAATAAGTTCACATGTGTTATAATGGTCAAAATTAGGTGATTGAATTAATAACATAATAAACTCAAGTCGACGAGTCGTAGCCGATAATATTATAAAACCCTCTTATTATATATAAAAACCTTATGACATCCGTAACAACATAGGAGTTCACATGTATCATTAGTCGAGCTCGCCACGTGTATTTACATGACAAGCTATTATTGACTAGCGTACGAAATAATAATAATATAAGAGTCTTAAATCGGATAGAAAAAAATTTAGAATCTCAATTAAAAAAATTTGAATTGTAGAAAATCTCGATATACATAAAACCCTCTTATTATATATAAAAAGCTTCTTATATCCAAACTTTAAAGCACATAAATTCTTAAGTGCAATAATAATATTCTAACTTGATAAACATATTTTATGCCACGATAAATTAAACTATAGGGATGCTTTGAAGCATGCAATAATAATGGAACCTACGATATGCAGCAAATTAAATAATTTTAGTTCGAAGGAATAAATGCTTTGTGTTTTTTTTTTTTTTTTGAAACATTAACAATGAGGTGAATTAGTAAAATCATTTTATAGAATAAAATAGATATAACTAAAATTTTGTTATGTTTTTATCCCGTCCTCTTTTTAATAATCAAGGAATCAAGAGAATAAAATATTTTTTATCGTCGAATAAAATATATGTGTATGTGAGTGGGTGGATAACATGGTTACTTAACAATTTTTTTTTTCCTTCTACTTTATGAGGCATCCTCGAGGCAATGACAAATCGATCGAGATTAAATTTATCATCATACAATATTAAGAGAGCACCCTCCACTCCTTCTTAGTTTATTCAAGAAAATAAATTTTTTTGGTGCTGACCTCGGAGTTCAAATCCTAAAAGTCAAGAGAGAAAGCAAACCTCTTTCATCACTAAACCTACACTTCAAGGTTTATACTTATATATGTAATATGGTAAATTACAATAACTTTCTCAAGATATCATGAAATTGCTTGAAACATTTAAAAGTTTAAAGATTTAATAGAAACCTCCTATTATAACCAAAATACCCTTAATTGCTATTTAGAAAAAAAAATAATAAATTAAGAAAATTTAAAAACAGAGATAGAATATTAAAAAGAAAACTTAAAAAATTGAATGAAATTAAATAGTAAATTAATATTGTTTATGTGCTAAAAAATCGTGTCCCATTTTTTTCTCTATTTTTTAAAGTTCTTAATTTAACTATATTTTTAAGTAGTAATTAAAGGAAACTTGGGGATAAAGGAGGTTTTTGTAATATGTTTTTAAACATGGACGAGGGTTTTATTAAATTTTCAAACTTTTGAGTGGTTTTTGCAATTTCATAATATCTCAAAAGACTTATTGTAATTTACCTTATATATAATACACCAAATCTTTTTTTTTTTTTTTTTTTTGCAAGACTAAAAAAAATCTCATTAGAAGGCATAATATGATATTATGATATTTTATTGATTGAATTTCATTCTATTGCCTAGCTTGCTGAAAAAAATATAAATATTTTTTAGGATACCTCTTCTAAACACATTTTACTATTGAAATAAATTTTCAGAATGATTTTTGCAATTTCATCCATAGCAGTACTGTCACTTTAACCAAATATTTTGAAAACAGACTTAGAGTATATCATAAAAGGTTGTTAACAAAAGCTGGCAATGTCATGTAAATCAATCAGCTTAGTAACATCATATGTGAGATCTCTATCGTATGTATATCTGAAACTGACATTTGAAATATTTTTAGAGCTAATTGGATATAAATTATATAACACATTTTAAGAAGTCAATGAGAAAATTGGAACTTAAATTATCAAACTATAATTTTTTAATTATTTTTTTAATCACCAAACCAATCTCTTAGCTAAGATTCAATGACTACCATATGCAACTTTATTTTGTTTTACAAAAATTTAGAAAATTCTGTTTTTTCCAATTTGTTTTAACCATTGATAGAATCATATAGCTTATAATCAATGATTAGACCGTTAATTCATGAATTAACGTTAATAGTTTGTTGTTAGCGGAATATAAAAAAAATACTATTTTACGGTAATGACTTGAGTTGACTATGACTATAAAATAAAGAACTATTATATCATCGTTTTATAATAATATTTTAAAAAAAATTTATCTAACTTACTCGTAGCTGAAATTTTATCTTTCGGTAATTTATTATAACTAAAACTCTTTATCTAAAATTCTATTTAAAAAGTTTATTGGAATACAAAAAATGTGTGCTAGTGTTGCAATCAATTCTTAATTTCTTCAACAACTACTATAAAAATAAAGAATTATTCTATATTTTTTTATAATGATATTTTTTAAACTTGTAGGTTTTTTACAAGTCCAAATAGTTCACTACCTCTATAATAAAATGTCATCGTTAACTAGAGCATAGGCCCATGCAAAATTTTCAAACTAGAATTTCTTAAACAAAACTACTAGCCAGACAGCAGAAGGCAATTTTGAGCCATCCTGAAATTCCAAAAAAAAAAAAAAAATTACCATTTGGAAGAAATTAGAAAGGCACCCCTCTTGGATTAACAAATGTCAGCATATTCAGTGCCAATTGATACAGTGAAAAATATGCTCCTTGTCATTATTTGACCTTGATGACAACAAAAGAATAATCTCTGAAAGTCTGACCTGAATTTGTACTTGCCATGATGAATCTTGCTTTCTAGACATTTTGACAAACACACAGCATACAAAATATCTTGTAATCAGAGAGAGAGAGAGAGAGAGAGAGAGAGAGAATGAACCCATAAGCGGGTCCCAATTTAAATTGCATGGACAGCATTTACATATCTTCTTCTTAAATGTATATAATCCCAGACGATGGAGTACAGATACAGAGAATTTAACCAAGTGCTTTTTTACTTTCTGAAAAGAAAAGGTCATTCATATCCTCTTCACTAAAAGGTGGAAAGATGCTTTCAGTTCAGTTGACACAGTGCTGGTACGTCTACTCATAAGGATTTTTTTCGATGTTCACCGGACAGTTTTTGCCCCTTGATGGTTTTCCGGTTAAGTCAGCCATACAAATATAAAGAAAAACCTTTGTCGGGTTTTTTTTATTTTATTTTATTGTAAGAGTATTTTCAAATTAGATGGCCCACCAACTAAAATTAAATTTTATTGATTTTGATTTATGTTATTTTTAACATTTTTTTAATTAAAAGTTTGTTGTACTTTAAATTTATATATGTCCGACTATTTGAAAAAATAAAAATAAAGATTCTAAAATTCGACAAACTAATAATGATTTAATTATTAAAATTCTGATATCATATTTAAGAATGATTTAAATCCAACAATTTAAATTATTAAGTGAAGTTCAAGGAAATGATTAATATTATTTTCAAGAACAATAAAAAAAAAAAAAACCTCTCTAGACAAGCATGACTATTTTTTTTAATTATTTCGTACTTGATATTACTTGTTTCATCAATAGCACCAAACTTTTTGCATAACTTAATTAATAACAATTATAAATGTAAATTATAAAAAAATATATGATTTATATTATTTTGATGAACAATCTAAAAAAAACTCTTTAAACAAGTATGATCATTTTTTTTTCCAATTATTCCGTGCTTGATATTACTTGTTTCATCAATAGCACTAAACTTTTTGCATAGGGATGACAATTTGCCTTGCTCCATCACATCGAATGGGATATGGGACGGGGATGGGGTAAATTTTGCCATCCTTATTTTTGCATAACTTAATATATAACATTTATAAATGTAAATTATATATAAAAAAAATTGCAGGTTTATGTTTATTGATTTTTCGATGGATCCCATTCTCCATAATTTCTATCCTCCTAAACCTATAATGGCAATTCGAAGCAGAAGCTGGTAACACTTGATTGATGAAGAATTTAATAATAAATTGGAGGGAATTGCTGAGCATGTGATAGCATCTCTTTGTCCATATATCTCTCAAGTTGATGCA